GGGGGAGTTCCACACAATTAGTTGGATAAGGTGCAAGATCGGAGGATCGTGCGCGTCAAGTGGAAGCTAACGCCGAGCGAATGCGAGTGTACCGAGAGTGCGAGCGCAAGGTCCCATGCGCGCACACACACACACGCACACACACACACACACACACAACACACCCTGCGCGCAACGCTCGCAAATACTCTTCCGTATGCCGCGCCAGCCGAAGATAATACACGCGAGACACGCGTGTTTCACTAATGGATTCCCCTGGCCGCGGGGCCGATTCGTTTTCGTCGCGTCATCCCTACGCGGAATTTGATTAATTACGACCGCACGACCGGCCCGGTAATTACTTTCCGATAGGATCCGCGCCTCTCTTCTCACTCTCAGCCAATCATCTTTTCCATTCTGCCGTTCTCCCGTCCCCTCCCGTCCCCCGCGCGCTTACCTTAATCTTCCCGCTTCGCTCTCGCTTCGACAGAAATTCGTCGTTACGCCGATCGATCGATAAGACCGATAACTCGACAGATCGCGTTCCGATGCGATGCTCAGATGGATACGACTCCTCGGTCCTTCTCTCTCTCTCTCTCTCTCTCTCTTTCTCGCTTGTCGCGGAAGCTCTTGTGAGAAGTTTCGTATTGTTCCTCAGAGATCAAAGGCTTTTAACTTCGATATCCTCTCGTTTATATAAGACATTAACGGCCGCGGAGTATCTTCTCTACTTCTATCTCGTCTTTTTTTAAATTTTTTTTCACATCATCCAAGTAAGGAACGGCTTTGAAGGAGGCTGCGCCATGTTGACAAAACGTGGAAAATAAAATTTAATTTATAGTTAAATTATAAATCAAATGTGCGAGATAAATTCAATAAATACGTCTAAATTGTATCGTTATGTGCGATGGCACCTGAATACAATCCGACATGGTTATTATTTCTCATTCGGTCCAGTATAGATGTAACGCGAAATGGTATGATTAGCGGTAATTATATTTCATTTGTGAAACGCGCACGGATGATTTATTTTATTAAAGTATACAGTAAGAACCCATCTGACAAGATAATCATTTATTTACCTTCATTTACATATCGCGCAGAAAACAGGTTCGCATCAATCCGGTAGCTGTCGCGCTGATTCCGCTTAAACTTCTCATTCTTCGCGGATATATTTGTATGCGCGCGCCGCGCGAATTCTCCTCGCGCTTTATTACACGACAACGAGACGC